ACTGGAAATCTCTAGACATAGAGATTGCCTATCATAGATAAAACCATTCTTGACTGCTGATCCCAAATTTCATCATCCGAGCCCAGCTCAGTATCATCCCATTCCCCCAAGCTATCTAAGAAGACATCAGACTGGCAAATGGTAAGTCATGTGACTTTACTTTTCTGACTTATGGTCTCTGGGATTTAGTCAACACATCTCACTTTCCCCATATTCTTACCAAATCGACTATGGAAGTCTAGAAATCACAATGTGCACTTCCTGTGAGCTCTACCTTTGCCAAATCAAATTTATAAGGGGAAAGAATGTTTATTTCAAAATTGGCCAATTGTAACTAAATATCTAGCACAACCAAGCCTCTTATTCTTGTTTTGAGATATCACTCTACTAAACCATGGTAAACAGTTCTATAATTCATTAAATGGCTGAAAGTCTACTCCCAGTTACAATTTTAAAAATCAAACCATATAGAATACTGCATTCTGCAAATAGAAGAATAAATTCAACTATCAAGAACACAGCTACCCAGCCTATGAAGTATATATTCCATATGAAGAAATGAGAAAATAAAAACAAGCCTGTGAGCAACCAAAAGAGATGTCACAAAGATTAAGTTCTTGTCTTTTCACAGACACACGTTTCTATTCCCCCAACAGCCACTTTACCTCTTGGTAATATAGTTTCTGAGCCCACAGCAATTTAGAAGTAGCAAATGACATGCTTGCTTCAGCAGCACAGGTACTAGAAGCAGCAAATAAGAGTCAAGAACTTGAGTAGTTAGATACCAGTAGCAGAAAGTAAGACCAGACAGGAAAGAAGACAAATAAACTGCCAAACAAATGGGCAATAGGACCAGAAAAATCATAGTGGCCAGGGGTTGGTGCAAATCATCCAATATCCCATTATAGCACCCAGCACAGCACTGTATTTCAGTAGAGCATAATAATTGATATTAGAACGCTAAATCATTAAAATATTTTGCATTAAAAGCAAGGAACACTGCAATGCATTTAGAAAGCTATCAACCAAAAGAAGTTTGTTTTAAATTATCCACAATTTAAGGGAATGTCCAAGAAAATCAAGCTGTATATTAATTTCCTACAAAATCTATAGGCAAAGGCTTTACTATATTTGTAATGTATGCTTTCTACTTATGCCATGCAAATTTTGATTAATGGAGAAAGTATAACACCTATAAAATCTCTAATAAATAAGAGATAAAATGGCAATTAAACCAACTTAGAAAATGCAGGAACTGTGAACTCCATAAAGGACCACGTCTTTCACTGCATAACCCAGTGCCTGGCGCATAGTAAACTTTCAGTAAATATTTTTGGGTGGATGGACGAACAAACTAAAAATAAAATTACAATGTGCAGATTTATGGCTAATGTCATTCAAATAATAATGCAGTCTTTTGTTTATGAAAGTTTCAAGACAGGGAAACCAGTTAGGTGTGGTGTTTTTCCACCTTCTCTACTGGAACATTCTAGACCAGCAAAATACTTGAACTTCTGAATGAAGGAGTTTCTTGGAGCTTCTTAATGGGAGGACCATACAGTTATCTTAATACCTATTTATTCTCCAGGAATACT